TTAATTTTATGCAAAATTTGCTTAATTTTATGCAAAATTTCCTGTTTTCAAATGATGCCAAACAGCCACGATATAACAGCTTTGACTCATCGGGTGCGTGATATTTTCAATAAAGTGTGAGGCCAGTGATCAGTAGCCTGTGATGTGTCCGCTTTACAAATTGAAAATGCATATTACTTAATTTAATATTAGCATTGATTACCGCACCGGATGAAACATGTGTGATATTTTTGTCCGGGAAATTGTTTCAAAACATTTTATTCAACTGCGAGTTCGAAACAAAGATCGTCCTATATCACCAGAAAACTAACAATGTCCAATGAGGTTAGTTCTTGTTTTTCTAAAACATTTGTAATCCACCGTTGTTTACGAGCGAAATGACGTATTACCTATAACTAAGCGAAATGACATATTACCGTACCTTGCAACGTACGCCAACGTAACGTATAAACAAACACGTTTTAGATCGCGCTCTAACCTTAATTGACGGATTTTCCCGCGGAGTTAGCACATTGATCGTCTTTGTCCTTCTGAAATAACTTCAATCAGCGCTTGAAAAAGCTTGATATGACGTTTAAATATACAAACGTAAACGTGATATCGATAATACCGAAAAATATCGATATTCCGATATATTGAAAATTCCAATATCGAGTAATCGGTATTTTGATAAAAAAAGATAGTTATCGGTATATCGATATACCGCAACAGCCTAAATTTGGAGGTCACCGATGTCTTTTACAAGTTAAATTAATTAAATTCAACCACCCACAAGTTCAGCGAATCTACCAGCATTTTGCCAATGTGGTCATAGTTAATAGAGATGTGGCATATAGCTAAAAAGATTCGTGCAAAATTTTGGCAAGTTCATGGTATAGTTCGGTTTTAAATTTTTTTGCGATTTACTGACGCACGACCCACGACGCACGACCCACCCACGCCAAATAGACAATCTCACATAGACATACGTCACATACCTTTCGCCGAACATAACTTCTCTTTCTCGATGTGTCTTTCTTACTACATTTCAAAAACTCATTAATAATTCATGAGGAAAACACAAAGAGAAATCATAAGCGTGGCGTGTCTTTATATGTGATAAAACACGCTTCAAATTTCAACTTGTATTTTCTCAGCTAATACAAAGTTAATATTTTGGAAAATTATTTCGCCAATGCCGTGATCTAACTGAGGCCCGTTTCATACGTCGCGCTATCGTCGAATTTAATTCAGACGAATTTAATTGAACGAATTAAATGCGACGGTAGTGCATCGTATGAAACGAATTAAATTCGTCTGATGAATTAAATTCGTCCAAGACGTTGTATCCGTCATGGTCAGACGGATACAACATACAACGTCTGTAGCGCGTCTTCGTTTCATACGTGTTATCGTCGTGTCGAATTAAATGCATAAATTATGTTAAATCTGTTTCTCTCTTTCTGGTCTCGTGGTTTTTTACTTCTGGGTAATCCATGATCGCTAGACATGAAATGAATTCGTCTGAATTAAATTCGTCGTTTGAAACGAAACCATTTTAGGCCTGTTTCATACGTCGAATTTAATTCAGACGAATTTAATTCGTTATTAAATTCGTCAATTGGTCGACACTAAAATGGTTTCGTTTCAAACGACGAATTTAATTCAGACGAATTCATTTCATGTTTAGCGATTGTAACTGCGAACCGTATAAGGGCATATTAGTGCTCAGGCCCCACAAAAAAACAACACGTTTTAATATACCAACTTGAACTTATGCGAACTTTTGCGAACTGTAGCTTACACGAAGGACTTATCTTAGTGATATTATTGTTAAAACATTCGTTT